AACCCATTAATTTATCTAAAAAAAGATTATGTTCTATGCATTGTGGTAGACAAATTTATATGCTTAATCAGAAAAAAGCACCATCAGAGGTTTGTAGCAATGAAAAACACACTCAAACGACGATTTACCGTCAAAAAACAGCAACAACAGCTATTTTCGAAAATTTGATCGTCAAAAATATTTTTCTTCCAAAATTCGTTTCTAAAATTTCAAAAAATATTTTTCTTCCAAAATTCGTTTCTAAAATTTCAAAAAATATTTTTTCCTAGGTAAAACGTTATGCTCTATCCAACCATGTATAAATATTGTCGGAAAACAATCTTGCTGTAATTTTGAATTGCGGGAATCTTACATTAACTGTCTTGTAGACAGAATAAATTGTAATTGTTAACTACGAATTATACTCTCTTTGAAAGGCCTGATCTATTTGTGTCAAAGATTGTTCATCGTGTAAATACTTAGTCTATTAATTGGATACATCTACATACTCTCACAATCAAATGGTGCGTGTGTTAACGATTAGTGTCAGATAAGTACAAAATATAGATGCGCGATACGATCTACAAGAAATTAGAATGCGAAGCGTCTTATAAAGCGCATCGCATTTTTTGCACTGTCATAATGACAGTGTATTATTCAATTTTCTTTCCATACTGTACTCTTTACTGCCACATCCATCATTCTCTTGGTTCAGATGTCACCAGCATCTGTTCATTACATTGATCCTTTTTCATATTTAGGAATAAAGTATTGCTGTCGCCTATATGAGACGACTTACGCATAACTCGTATTCGTGACTCATCTGACTTTTTTATACATATCTCCTTTGAAATCCGAGAAACAAGATTCGAGTTCATTTTTTGAATGATTAGAGAATTGAAATACGGTGCTTGAATCTCAAAAGGTTTGAATAACAAACGAAAATAGGATTTTTATAGTGTACCAGTATTCAAAATCCCACAGATGTGCTTTGCCATGAGCCATCCAGCTAGATCATTCTCGGTTGTAAATGGTCGTTTATGATACCTAAGGTGTGAATATGGTTGAATGCACGTGAATAATAGGTAGATAGACACACCCACACCCCTCACGCCATCAAATAGCAGTTAAACATGAATATTTCAGTTATCAGGAGGAAAAGGAAGAACACTATATACTTTTAAATAAATATTATATAGTTAAAAAAAATAGATAAAAACATGCATTTTAGAGTGTTTACAAGAGAGAGACTCGTTGATAAAATAGAACTCACTGACAAGCAGAGAAAATTAAACGATATAAATACGTAGAAAAAGCCAGTTTTAAATAAAAAAGAATCCATTTCGAAGTTTTATAATCGCAAACCATGCGTGTGACGATTTTAGATAGAAGAGATACCTGTGTTGATGGTATTACACTTTATTTAACTCTTCAAATCATAAATCGCATCGATTACATATAAAGCACACACTTAAATACTCAACCANTTATTTCTAAAGACGATCCCAAAATGCTTGGACAACTAGAAGAGCTATTATTTCTGCCAATATTTGTATTAAAATAATATTGTATATCGAAATATGATTGTTTTTCGTGAAGTAGAAAAACTTTTCCAAATGAAAAACGGTATTGATTGTCATCGCTGTCAATACAAAAAATAGCCGTGTGACTAATCATAAGAATAACTACCCAGTCAGACAAGCAACGAAAACTAACGCGTAAAAACGAATAAAAACCGCACATTTTTGTGATTTTATTTTCGTTAAAAATTCTACGCATTTTTACGCGTTATTTTGTTGAAATAAGTGACTTGATAGAGGAAAAACAGCTATAATCCGCACACTTACATTGCTTATGAATTATCTATATAGTTTTAAACAAAATGAGTGTACGAATTGTAGCTGTTTTTTATATATCAAGTCACTTATTTCAACAAAATAACGCGTAAAAATGCGTAGAATTTTTAACGAAAATAAAATCACAAAAATGTGCGGTTTTTATTCGTTTTTACGCGTTAGTTTTCGTTGCTTGTCTGACTGGGTAGTTATTCTTATGATTAGTCACACGGCTATTTTTTGTATTGACAGCGATGACAATCAATACCGTTTTTCATTTGGAAAAGTTTTTCTACTTCACGAAAAACAATCATATTTCGATATACAATATTATTTTAATACAAATATTGGCAGAAATAATAGCTCTTCTAGTTGTCCAAGCATTTTGGGATCGTCTTTAGAAATAATGACAACTCAAATGTTAATGAGAAAAGAGTTAGCTTTCGTCAAAGGAGAACGACCCATCTTATCTATTTCCCTATAGTCTAATTTCATTGGAAAGGCCGAATGTGGTCCCTGTTGCAAGTCAACTCTTATGCGTGATGATATTACTACAAATAAAAGTAGTATGGACGAGAATTTACACGGAAATAATTGATCTTCTTTAAATGTTTTTCAATACGTACAGCTCTATTATGTACTTAAATATTCCGATTTTATTAATAATTAATCAAAATCGAATAATCTAGCCAAGAAAGAGGTTGATACTCTTATGAGTCTTGTGTATCAATACTGCATTATATCACTGAAGTTATATTCTGTTTTGTATTGAAGCCCCGAAAGCCTAAAACATATATTGTGCATATCGATCGATATTGTATCCAAATTAATATTACTCTAACGAGGGAAGGCCACGAAGTGTTCAATCGCTTTGCATTGAAATTACTTGCATTATGTAGCTTCCAAGGCGTCATGAATACACTGAAAATATTTTGGACGGATAGCTTATTGTTACGAAAAAGGTCATTTTTATGGTATTTTTTTATAATTGCCGCACTCCCCTCAGGAACATTAGAAAAATTGATTTCTGAATTTCGATTTGAAATTTTATATAGCAATACATCTTAACGAAAATAGTGTTTTGCGAACGTTTCTAGGTGCTGAATTTGTCGTTCGCTAGTTTATTTGAAAGATGTAAAATAAAAATTTCATAATACCTATTGCTAGTGACAAGAATAGTAGAAAGGTCTGAAACGTTCACAAAAACTTGATCTCTTTAGGGCGTCTTTCTGTGTAAATTTTCAAGTCGAAATTCGAAAATTAATTTTTTTTCAATGTTCCTGAGGGGAGTCCAGGCACTCACTAAAACCCATACCTTAGAAATGGTATATTTTCCTAACAATAAGGTATCCGCCCAAAATATTTTCAATGTATTCATGACGCCTTGGATGCTACATAATGCAAGTAGTTTCAATGCAAAAGCGATTGAACACTTCGTGGCCTTCCCTTGTAAGTATCATATTGAAAAGTATACTACTGAAATAGAACCATTGTAGAGATGACTTTTATGAGTACTGTGTAGTAGAATGTACTTTAATATTGCGAACGAAAGGAATAGTTGTGCAGCAGAAAGAGAAAACGCACCTAAATGAGAACGAGTTTAACTTGATTGAAAATATCCTTTAGCTTAATTTCAAAAGCTATAGACAACTTGGTGTCTGAACAACCATTTCGTTAATTTTTTTCTTTACAGCGATTCAGTTTCAAGCGCATTCTTTAATTTTGGGCAAAATATCTAGTGACGACCCATGAGTATGTTTATTTCATTCAAAGAGGTTACACTTTGAGAAGAACAAAACATTTCAGGCTTTCTTAATTGTCTTCACAATGTTCAACTGCATATCTTTCAGCTATTGTTTAATCAATTCCGATTGTTTACAAATACAGTGAATCATCATTGTCCTCTAAGTTTTAAAACTTTGATAAAATAAAAATAAATACAATAAATATGAACAAATGTCTAATATTGTCAGAAGTATTACAAATCTACAACAATATAAACTTTCGCTTTTTCTGTTTTACTTTTCGCTATTTCCTGAGCTTGGGTGTGCCTTTTTTTTTTTATAGCACACGCCTTCAAGAAAATTTCATTTATTTTACTTCATATTAATATTGTAAACTCTTGAAAAAAATTTTCTTTTTAATGATTAGTATTTATTCAGTCAACACGACATGTAATGTGCTGTTTCTTTGAATGTTGTAGTCGGATAAAGTTCGACTATCTTCGAGTTCTTTGTTAGCAAAAAATAGTCTTCTTGAATTTTTTGTTTGATTTCTTCGATGGTTTCGCCCGGTAAAATTACCACGTCAATAGTTTTTTCCATTCGGCATTTTGATAGGCGTAAAGCTGTTGTGATGAACTTCCCCATAATATTCCTCCTCGTCCATTGGATTTTAATCTGTATTCAAAGGAAGAAAAACAGAAATTAGCAGATAGACGTGCCATTTAAAATTATTTTTCCTTAAAAGGAAATTAAGTAGATATTATTGTTAAGTAGGAATGTCACTTATACATTCCGTACTTAGGAGCGAGCAACGTATAAGACATTTTTATGAAAATTTATCTAAGGAGCCATTATAATTGTAAACGAATAGACAGGAGTATATGTAACTTTGCATTTGTTAGTCGCGTTCTGATAGCTCAATGGTGAGAACACTGGTCCGGATAAGCAGTAATCATATTTTGATTTCGATTTCCGAACGAACCATACCATTTATTTCTCTGAACGATATTCAGAACAATTTGCGCTGAGATCCGAGAAATGTTTGAATCTTTTCAATTGAGACGAGATGGGGCGTTAGAATTTTCAAACTGTGTTTTCAGCATTCTCTCAAAATGTGACTCATGGACACGTACACTATGCAAAGACGCTGTTCGCCAGATTGACTCACCAAACGAAAGTGCAGAATTTTTAGTAAAATTCAACAAAATATTTGAGCGGCATTACAAATGAAATATGAACAGAAAAAACTCGTCTAACTTACTATTTTATTGTTGTTCTCGACACTTTGTTACGAGAGATGAATGCACAATCATCATCGTCAATATATTCTAAATTATCAGTAGAAGATAATCAGGAAAAAAAAAGAAAAGCATGTTGGCGTCTCACACTTTTCTTATCTCATTCGCTGCGTTTACGCAAATAAAAAGAAAAGAATAACGAGTCAGAATGAACTGGAAACTTCATGTTAACATTTTTCTTTATATTATTGGTTCATGTCTGTTTATTATCGGTTCAATCTTGTTTCATCCTCACTTTTCAAAAGTCGATTCATTGTACAAAACTGGTGTATTAACTTTCACATTCGGTTCGATTCTCTTCGGTCTGGGTTCACTGCAGCAACTACTCGCCGACTTTCGATCGATTTCTTCAAATAACAACGAATTGCTTATTAATGAAGTTACACCGTTTCATATGGATTTGGCAATATCCATTTGTCGAAATACAATTGGAAGTGTCAATGGTTTTCTGTTTACAATTGGATCGGTAGCATTTTGGCCTACATATGGTCATTGTGGTTCGCTTGTCGGAAATTGGATGTACCGATGCGGTGCATTTCTTGGCGCAGTAAATAGTATGTGGCAGCTCATTCGACTACAAATGAAATCGACAGCAATGACAACGATGAAACTATTGACTCTGTTATCACTATTAGGATCAATTGCATTTCTCATCGGTGGCGGATATTTTATAATCGATGAAAAACATAATGTCGAAGGTAGTTTTGTTTGGCTTGCAGGATCAGTTGCGTTTTTGTTATCGTCAATGCTAACATATAAACTATAAGTGTTTCATACATGGAGTTTATATTAAAATTATTAACCCATAAATAAAGTAAAAAATTGATGTCGATGAAATTCGTTTTGAATCGTTCACGATCTCTAAAGGGCACGTGGTTAGAGGTGCGGGTGCCAACGGAGAAAAAATAAAATCTAACCACACTCACACCCACACCCTCAATATATATGGTATAACCGTTTTTCCGTTGTAAACTACTGAGAAAATTCAATGACCAGACAGCTAATCTTAACGATTGAAAAATGAAGAAAATAATAAAAAATCAACGAATTTTGTTCACAAATTGTTTCTATTGGACAATGCAGATTTTATGCAAAATTTAAGAATGATTGACTATGTTAAAATCATCAATTGAAAAATCCGGCTTTTATTATCTCATCGATCGATCGATAGACAAGTGTTGTTAATCTACCTTCGATCACTAATTAACATTGCAGATTCTTTTTTTTTTATTTCATAGTTTATCAAAGAATACATACATGTTTGATAGAAGATTAATTGATTGATTACAAATCTTCTATGTAAAGTTCACTATCTTTAACACGTGTAAAATGTATCATACAAAAGGTAGGTTGATCTTTTTAATGAATGACAGAAATCAAATATCCCATCTCTCACATGCTTACATCAAAGTGGACAACAGGCATATCTAATCAAGTTAAACATCGACACATACATGCAATTCTTTACTGCTTGTTTCTATCATGCATATTGAATATGTCACACACACACACATCGAGTGAAGTGGCAGCGAAAGTGAGCGGCGTCGGCTGTGCGTTCAATCAAACACCTCATCATGATGAGTGATACAGTAGTACAGCCTTATTGTTGTCAAGAACTGAGTGACGCATATATTTCTTTGATATAAATATATATTCACATAAGTGAGAGAACATTTTTAAATAGCATCTTCGTTTGTTAATCGCGCATATATTTATTTGCATCGAAGATCGTTAACTATTCTTATCTTTTTCTTCTCTATAATTGTTCGACAGATGGATGTCTAGTATTGCTCAATCGAAAAAAATAGAATATCACCTTCCTTTACATTCCATTTGTCATGTATTTCGAATTTGCTACGCTTGTCTTCATTTGAAAGAACGACTCAATTTGCATTTTGTAGCTGTACGAATGATCTATCATGTATTGCTCTCTATAAAGAACAACGTATGGTGCTGGTGGGATGTCATTAGTAATGCGGATGTATTTCACACTCGGTCCATGCATTCATTGTGTTTGTGTATATATATATGGGTGTGTTTTTTGCTCGTCTAGTTCATTAGACAACTTTTACTTTTAATCAAAAGCGCTCTCTCTCTCTCTCGCTGTGTGTCTCTATCTCAATGGAGAATGAGAAGAAATAAGCTTTCTCGCTTTCGTTAAAGAGAAATAATAGAGTGACATTTGTGCGAGACTAGAATAAATGATGATAAAAGATATTTTTTCATACCAATAAAATCTATCTTGCAAAAAAAGCCGAGAGAAATCAACAATGCATGACAATACATCATTTTAACATTCTTGAGATAAATGTATATAGAAACAGAAACAAAACAAAATGAAAATGAAGGGAAGAATTATATTGACAGGTGTTTGGCCACTTGAATGCACGTTTTTAACCTATACGCAAAGAGAATGAGACGTACACCTACAGATCAATATCGAAGATTATTTTCTTTGAGATAAAACATAACTCCCTGGCATCTGCTCACACGAAAGGAGAGAATTAACTTTTTTTTTTGTTTTTTGACGAATGATTTCATCACCGTAGAGACACGTGCACAACATGTATAATATAATCAAATGTGTATCGATGTAATGGAAAATTTCAAATTGTCTGTAAACGATGATGACGCGATGACAAGGGCGGAGTAACAATAGAAACATAGCACCAACTTGTATGATTTGTACACAGAAAGGAAAATAAAAGGTGTGCTAAATGAGATGGACACAGCTGAGCTATACAATGATCATTGCTTGTCGGATTATATACGCTCGTATTAAATAAATTTGTTTTCACTACAACATTAATATAGCCAATTGATCGATGATGATCATTCATGCTTGATTTCATCTATCCAGCTGTGTAAAACTATAGACATTTTCCACTCTTCTTCCTCTTCCTAATGCATAAATAAAGACTTTTGCAGGTGTACGTTCATCTCTCTTCATCAACGATTCAATCAAATCCTTTTACTATGGAAAAAAAATGTTTTCTGAGTGGCTTGGTTGGTTACCCTCGAGGCGAGTGTTTTTCTGTAATTGGCTCAAGACGACTATTTATCGGACGAAGAGAGCGAGAAAAGTGGAGACTTTATCGTTTCCTGTGCTTTAGCTGTTGTTATTATTACTGCTAAGCCGATAGAGAAGAAGAAGAGAGAGAAACTGTAAAAGCTAGAACAAAAAAAAAAGTACGTTCTATAATGAATGTATTAACGATAAGAATATTTAAAGGGAAAAAAAGAAGTTTCTCTTCTCTTCTTTTTTGAATATACCGATTTTGAAAAACAATAACGATGATTTAACTATTTGTTTTTAACAATCGAATCGAAAATAAGAAAAACAATCGTTGTCCTATATTTCGACAATGATTATTCGATATAGCCACAGATGTTGAAATTATATAGAGAGCAGAAGAAGAAGATGAGATACATCGCTCACTTGACACGTCGTCACATCTCGAATCCTCTTCTCACCTTAGTGATGATGTTCAAAAATGCGCGACCGTCGATCACATGTCAGACATTTCGTCAATCAACAAGTCTATTTTCGGGGCAACAAAAAACAGAGACACGTCGTCGTCGTCGTCGTCGTCGTCGTCTTTTTACCTATTATTTTTATCGAGCATGACAATCATATTCTCAACGACTCATGCTCGATTGACAGACTATTTCAATGCTTCTGCTACTCAGATATCCAAATGGCGTCATAGAGGATTCTGTTGATTTTGTTTTACAATAGATGAATAAACACATATTTGTGTACTCTTAAAATCTTCTATCAAAAGAAAGGCACGCGTTGAATATGTTGACACATTCATTACGTCGTCATCGTCGTCGTCTACCAAATCATTAAGCTCAACAAATGCATAAAAGATGTTAAAACAACATTGTCAACCTTGAGGCTGTATAAATTTTTTAATTCGATATCTTTACGTTCTATACACACACATACGCAGATGCTTCTTTAAGTCAAAGAAAGAGAAAAAAGCAAGTGTTGCAAGCATGCACACTGATTTTTCATTCGTCTTAAGTTCATCGTTCTCTCGTTTCCTATTAGTCGCAGTGTTCTTTTTAGTTAACAAAGACATTGGCTGAAATATCTTTTGCTCACTCTCTTTTCTCGCTCTTAAGAATACGACAACGGAGTGGTTGATTTTCTTCTTCTTTTTTCTTTCAGACATTACTCTACCCCCACACAATCACACAACAACAACAAGAAGAAGAAGAAAAAAAGATCATTGAGACGAGTCCAGAATAAATTTACTGCTAAATGGTGAGTGTCTCTCGAGAGATGTGTGAATGTTAAAAAACAGGGAGAAACAGCACGTAGTAATGCTGCTTCTAACTTAAGCAAAGTTCACAGAGATAAGAGACGACAAAGATTTACTTTACAATAAACTTACTCATTTTTTTTTCTTTTTTTTTTTTTTTTTTATACATCCAGTTGATTTAAAAAAAAGATGAATCCATCAACAAATAATAATAATAATAATAATGCGGTCTTTTCACCCTATCTACTTTCACGTTTTCATCAACATTTGAATCATCTTAATGACATGGCATTCGCACATACGAAGATCTTACAGGAAATTATTGAAAAACGGTCTGTCGAACCGATGACATCGTCGCCACGCGGAAGTATTAGCTCATCATCATCATCCACATCGCCGTCCACTACCGATTCGACTCAACGAAAACGTTCATATCCGTGTAGTGACAATCACGAAAGTAAACATGAAAATCATTTAAATAAACGTCCAAGAAAACAATCGAAACCACAACAACTTCTTAAAATTGATAAAAATCAAAATGAACAATCAGCTTCATCGGATACTGATGAAAATGACGACGATGACGAAGAAGAAATAGGTGAAGTTAATGAACCGAATGAAAAACAAGTATTTATAAAAATGATAATTTTTCCCTTTTATGTTTTATCTTTCTTTTGTGATGATATTTTCTAGGATACTCTTCCAATAGCAGCTCCACCCGTATTACCATTCATACCAAATAATTTACCATTTCTTAGCTATATCCAAGATTTAGCTCGTGCAAATAATGTCGCATCACCTGTATCAGTGGGAAAATTTCTTGAAAATTTTCAAAAAGAACTTCTATCAACTTCAATGGATTCTAAAAGAATGTTACCTCCGCCGCCGCCTCCACCTCCGCCCTTTTTTTCTCAAACTGTACATCATCATCATCATCCATATTTTTCTCAAATACTTCTCAACAATTCATTTATCAATCATTTTCCATCGTCACCCTCATTGAACCGTTTCGGCCATTCACCGTCCGATGTTTTCAATGATCATTCGTCGTTTCCCTATCATTTATCAACACCAAAAAAACGTCGTACTAAAGTAATTTTGTTTTCCGAACTTTAATTTTCTCAAAAAATAGGATTTAGGTAACCGACACACGTTTATCACCACGTATAACATCAAAGATTCCTGCAGACGATTTGACTGACGACGAAAATAGTTCATCGCAACATTCATCCGACGAAAATCCAAGCAAATCGGATCAACAATTGCTGGAATATAATGGATTTCAAATAAGTGATTTTCCTTTTTGTTTAATTTTAAGTACCACGGAAAGAAGATTATTCGACTAAAGAATAAATTAACCTATGACTATCTAAATTAGACTCATTAAATCATTCATTTTGCTCTCTTGATGCGCACTCGTGCTTTATCACCCTATTTCCGTTTGAACCTTAAAAGCGATAACATCTGCGTTTCTTTTTCTATTCTATTTTATTATACGTGGCAGTATTAACATCACTTCATTTACGTAAAGCAAAATTAATGTTCTTTTATACACGTTATCCGAACTCATCCGTATTGAAAGCCTATTTTCCTGATGTTCGTTTCAATAAATTAATCACAGCACAATTGGTTAAATGGTTTTCAAATTTTCGGTATGATAATTTCTTTTTGTTTTATTTCTATTCGTCTATTTTTTTTTGAACATAGAGAATTTTTTTACCAACAAATTGAAAAATATGCTCGACAATGTTTAGCTGAAGGTATATCTAATGTTGATGATTTAATTATCACACCGAATTCTGAACTTTATCGCATTCTTAATCTTCATTATAATCGTTCGAATCAAATAAATGTGAGAATATTTTCGATTGATTTATTTTGTTTACTAATCCTCGTTTTGCTTTTTTAGGTACCGATAAGTTTTAGTAGTGCTGTTCAAGCAGCATTAAGAGAATTCTTTATTGCTATACAACAACAAAAAGATCTGGAGTCATCATGGAAAAAAAGTATTTATAAAATAATGCAACGTTTCGATGATCAAATACCTGAATTTTTTAAAAATGATCACTGGATGCATTCCATTTGAACAGTAGAATTCTATTGACTTATTATTCAAATGTATCGTTTTTTCCTTCTTCTTTTTCTTATTATTCTTTCTGTTCAATCAATAAAACTAGAGCTCTCTCGTTTTTCTTTTTGCACGCTAATTATTTCATTTGATCATGTTCTTGGATAAATGTTGAAATTTTTCATGACAACTAATTGTTTGTTAATGTATTTATCCTTTTAGCAAACTACACGTGCTTGTTGATGATATTGAATATGGTCTAAATGTTCTCTGATGTAATTTAGTAAGCGATGCCGCACACGAGTCGTAGACAGTTACTTGATATGATTGCAGGAAGTGTGCAACGGAAAAGCAAATCTTTGATCGTGTATGGAAAAAAGCAAATATATATATATATAGAATTTCTGACGATCTAAAATAAATTCCACGAAATTTCATTAACATTGATAAAATTTTCGACATTCAATATTCTTCTTGACTTAACATGAAACAGTAATTACTATTTGCTCTTTAAGTTTTTATTAATATTGTTTGCATCTTTATTGCAAGATACTCTTATTCATTCAGCTCTGATAAAACAGATTAAGAGTGTGCTCGTAATAATGTTGAAAAGGTCATTATTTTGTAGCTTTTAATAACTTGCGTGGGCGAGTAAAAGAGAATTTTTTTATATTTGATAAAAATCATGACAATTCTACTTTTTTTAAGTTACTTGAAACTAGTTATAGAGAGGATTTATTTTCTCGTGATGACAGCAATACGTTCTTTCGTAAAAACTTGCTGTGTCTTCGGAAGCGTTCTATTAAATTAAATGAAACGAAATGTTTATATTTTATGAATGTAGCAGTTTTTAATTCCAGAGAAAAATAAAATAGCACCTATTGAGAAGCAATTTCATCAAAATAATTTCGTATTATGTTCAGACTAGAAGGAACTTGTTTCAGAAGAAGTCGATGAAAAACACTCAATTCAGTGGGAAAAGTATCTCAGTCTTTTGGTTTATGAGAAATTTCATTTCTGTCTCATTTATTGCGCAATCAGTATGTCGAAACAAGAAATATTGGTGACTCATCGTTGCAAGAATGTAGCTACTGTGCAACTTTTGCTTTTTATCAAAGAATAAAGCTTGCCGTTTCTGTTACTCGAAAGCATACTTACCTGCCACAAGAAGTTCCTTGATCACAAATAAGGAAGTCTCTGGTTGAGGCTCTACCATTGCACATCGGTAGCGCTGAAGCTAGCGAGAGGTTCACATAGGATCTCCTCGAGTGGATCATTTTTCCCGCTGGATTGAGCGTTCGCGCTCGATCCTTCAATTAAAATAAAATAATTTCACAACTGTTGTCAAACTACTGAATATCTGATTAAAGAAACTTGAATTCTATCAGTGAAATCATTGAGTCTAGCTTCTGAGATGGATGTAATTAAGAATTTGATTTGTTTTGCAAGAAAAGAAAATGTGGACAATAGATATTGTTGAAATAATCAATAAAAATATTGTATTCTTCGAAAATAATTGGTACATCAAATAAATTCCTGTATTACAGATGATAAAAGAGTTCCAGCAGCAAATGTCGTTATTACTACATTTAAGATTTCTAATCAAGTGTTAAAAGTTTCAAAACAAATAATGCATAATGAACAATTACAAGAGAATTAATTTTACGTGCTGAATATGGCTAATGATGACCAATATATATAAAATAAACTACATGATATACTTGAATGAGAAGAGACTAGTCTCATTATAATTACATATTTTCCCAATGCTAAAGGTGCCATCGCTTAAGAACATTAAGTAATTAAGAAATTTGATTGAATTGAAAGAGAACAACATTATTTTATTTAAATTAATTGAAGCATCAGGTAATCCCCTCAATTGGGATTACGCACTATTTATTATTCTTCTTGAAGAAGAAAATAGTTAAAAAAATAATTTGTACAATCGAGTAAAGACAATATACAGAATAGATTATTAAACAAAGTCCTCTGGAGTAATTCAGATCAGCTCCACACTACTCTTACCATTTTGAGTGATAGTGTTTACTAGTATAATATTTTCGATGATTCTTTCGCTAGTCTATAGAGAACACATGGAATTAGTAGTGATAAACAATCATGATTGTACAGTGTAAGGTGAGCGAGAAGGAACAAAAGCAAAGTGAATTTTCAAAATTTTTTTTCAAATTATCCCAAAGGATTCTACACAATACAACAGAAAGAGAACATAAGTAGTTCAATCTTATCACGAGTGTCTGCATAATTTCTAGATTTTTTTTCTTTTATATCCTTGACGATAAAACAAAGGCGAATGAATTCGTTGAGTTGTATTGATTTCAATAGTAAAGGTCTAAGCTTGGATGAGTTTTTTTGAAGGTTTGTATAATTCTATTCAATTCGTTCGTATTAAATGAATTGTTGGCAATACGTAAGGAAATTAGAGTATCAATCTGAAAAATCTCCATTGGAAGAAATGTTAATTGATTATTTGATAAACTAAGATGATTTAGATTACGAACATAGCGAATTTCAGGTGGAATAGAATTTATAAGGTTGAAATCGAAAACAAAGGTTTTATTTGCATTTGTATTATAACCCAACGTTTCAATACCATAAAGATTTGTTATACTATTGTTCAACAGTAATAGATATTCAAGATCTGGTACATTATATGGTATACGATCAATGACGCAATTTCTTGCATAAAGGTGTTTAAGGTTACGAGTGCCACTGAATGATTCTAATGAACGAAGACGTGAGTTATCATCTAATATAATCATGTTAAATGATTCTATATTTGAAATTGTCTTCGGTAATGATACAAAATTGTTGTTATTCAATCGTAGGAATTCTAAAGAAGTTAAATTGCCAAAACTGTTTGGCAAAGTAACAAGACCGGTGTTGTGCATTTCTAAGCTCCATAAATGTTTCAATTTGCCAAATTCTTCTGGTAGCTGAGTTATTTTTGTATCCATAATGACAATTGAAGTTAACGACGAAGCAAGACGCTCGATTTCTGATGGAAATCGGTAGTCAGCATCATTATCAGAAAAAAATGGAATAATACGTGAATTGAATATACCAAAATATGTTAAATGTTTCAAACAAAAAAATGTAACTGGTAACACGGTTTCATTCTTTATAACTATCCTATTAATTTGATTTTCTACCAGTACATTGGCATTTGTTGAATAAAAGGTGTCTTGTTGGTTGATATCAACATGAAATGGAAATGAAGCAAGAATATCATAATCATTATCATACAAAGAACAGTCAAGTCTTGATCGTGTTTGGAACGTCATTTCTTCATTTGACTGAAGGATTTTAGAGCTCTGACTAACAATAATCAATTGAATAAAGTATATTGAAAAAATCCGTCGAACTAAGCGCTGCATGTCTCAAACTAATCGCATTTGATTATCGACAATAATAACGATTGAAACGTGTTCTTACGACAAAAATACTAAAGATTTATAGATTTTCTTTTTGACAAAAGCTTGTTGTTATATGTAAATATCATTGATAGACTTACAAGAGCAATAAACGCCTTGCACTTTTGCCATGTCATCTATGAACGTCATCAAGTCTTTTTTGCCACATTAGTCAACGAATGTTTGGATCTTTTTTATGTCACAATTCGAATAAAATGATCATTCATGGGCACAAAGGATGTAATGTGTCGATGACACAGCGCAGTTTTAATCTTTCCTCAATATAACGACAGTTAATCCTTTCAAAATATTTGCAACGATCAGCTCAGGATCAAAGCGAAGCACTTATATTGAGAATTCATTGTATTCGGGTTTACCATTTCATCAATAAAAATTTAAGACTTATGAAAGAAAAATTCTTCGAATATTTATGTGTCGTATATCCATTATCCAATAATCACTCATTTAATTTTGCTTCGTAAAGTGAGAGAAATTATCCCATCATCATTATTCTAAGTTTAAGCAATACAAGTATGCATTTTACATTTTATCTCAAAATTCAAAATTTTCTTAACAGTTAATTGGATAATCAGTTGAAAACCTACAATATATTTGTTCATGTTGAAGTTATCTTATCAAGCCAGAAGACAGTTTAAATGCTGGAATATATATTATTGTAAACATCTATGAAGAGACACTTCTAATATGATAAGGGCGAGTGTGTGCGATACGGATGGGTAGAGGTGGTGGGAACGTGTTGGTGTGATTAGAGATCTGTGCACCCAACACCCACACTCTCGTTGCTGAGTCATGATGCAGTATGATGTAAGAACTCTTTTACACTCTTTCATTCACCAATCGTCTTTTGCAAATCAGTCACATATAAAAGCTACTTGCAAACATGTTTATCCGATAGTTCTTGCGCAGTGGTAGTTGCCTTTTCACTGAGCGTTATTGCGAGGAGAGGCGATTGCTGATTGTAAACTAAGATCCAACCTCGGCAATGATTTCATTGCCGAAATTTTTGCTGCTTCTTCGGAAGCGTTCTATTAAATTAAATTAAATTAAATGAAACGAAATGTTTATATTTTATGAATGTAGCAGTTTTTAATTCAAGAGAAAAATAAAATAGCACCTATTGAGAAGCAATTTCATCAAAATAATTTCGTATTATGTTCAGACTAGAAGGAACTTGTTTCAGAAGAAGTCGATGAAAAACACTCAATTCAGTGGGAAAAGTATCTCAGTCTTTTGGTTTATGAGAAATTTCATTTCTGTCTCATTTATTGCGCAATCAGTATGTCGAAACAAGAAATATTGGTGACTCATCGTTGCAAGAATGTAGCTACTGTGCAACTTTTGCTTTTTATCAAAGAATAAAGCTTGCCGTTTCTGTTACTCGAAAGCATACTTACCTGCCACAAGAAGTTCCTTGATCACAAATAAGGAAGTCTCTGGTTGAGGCTCTACCATTGCACATCGGTAGCGCTGAAGCTAGCGAGAGGTTCACATAGGATCTCCTCGAGTGGATCATTTTTCCCGCTGGATTGAGCGTTCGCGCTCGATCCTTCAATTAAAATAAAATAATTTCACAACTGTTGTCAAACTACTGAATATCTGATTAAAGAAACTTGAATTCTATCAGTGAAATCATTGAGTCTAGCTTCTGAGATGGATGTAATTAAGAATTTGATTTGTTTTGCAAGAAAAGAAAATGTAGACAATAGATATTGTTGAAATAATCAATAAAAATATTGTATTCTTCGAAAATAATTGGTACATCAAATAAATTCCTGTATTACAGATGATAAAAGAGTTCCAGCAGCAAATGTCGTTATTACTACATTTAAGATTTCTAATCAAGTGTTAAAAGTTTCAAAACAAATAATGCATAATGAACAATTACAAGAGAATTCATTTTATTTGCTGAATATGGCTAATGATGACCAATATATATAAAATAAACTACATGATATACTCGAATGAGAAGAGACTAGTCTCATTATAATTACATATTTTCCCAATGCTAAAAGTGCCATTGCTTATTTATATGAGAACACAATGGCGTCAAAACATTACGTAAATTAATTAAGAAATTTTACTGAATCATTCAAGTAATCGGCAAATGATATTTAACTATTGAATTGACAGAGAACAACGTTATTTTATTCAAATAGTTGAAAACTTGTTTAAAAATAACCAGAATATGCCCAAGCAGCTTTTTTCAAATTAGTTGAAGCAATACGTAATCCTCTCAATTGTGATTAGGTATTACTTATTATTCTTCTTGAAGGACAAAATGGTAAAAAGTTATGTGCGCAATCGAATGAGTAAAATATACAGGACAAATTATTAAATAGTATCTCTGTTTTGTTTTAATTCATGCTACTTTTTGAGGAGGCACGCAATTTGAGCTTCAAATTTCCACTCACTATTTTCTTCGAAAATATGTGTGAACTTCACTCAGCAGTCATCAAATGTTTAATTTTAAATAGTTAATCGATTTTACGGTGAAATATTACTTAAAAATCAGATGAGTACTTGCTTTGCAACTATCATGTATGGAACGCTTTTTCTTTGCTTTTTGTTATTGTAATCGGTATATAATCAATGTTATTAATAATAGGAAAAAGGTTTTCTTCGCATTCGTCAGAGATGTCTATCTTGGCTGTTACTGTCACGAGTTATAGAAAAAAGGTACTCCGCCATCATGTATATATATCTGTTATACAAAAAGTAAGAAACGAAATGTTCAAAAATAGTACACTAATTGTAAGGATAAAGTTATAAGTAAAATGCTATCGCATAACGGAATTTCATGTAATTTTATTTCCGACATTCTTTCGTTCTTAATGAATGTCTCTCTTCGTTCATGATGACGGCGAGTATTATTGTTGGCGATTGTAATTTATACTAAGGAAATATTTTAAGTTAAAAAAGGATTTCGATCAAATGATACTGTAGACATGAACAAATAAAACAATACAGACAAGGAAAAGGTCCATAAGTGAAATAATGAGAGAAAACAACAAGTTATAATTTACAATTATTAGAAAATTAATTGTTTTAAGATTGAATATGTATATTTTTGATCAGTTTTTTTTCTGCGTTAATATTACCGAAACTAATAAAAAAAATAAAAAATAAGAAATGATTTTTATCACTTTGAATATCAACAGTAATATGACCATAACATGAAAGAAATCGAAAAGATCTCATCAAAACCTATTGCCTTTTATCACTCGTAGCATTAAAAAGTGATATTCCGATTAGAATTCATGGAGCTATCTTTCACTTGATCTTTGAGATCTCAAAAATAATTTATTCATCCGCTACAATTAAGTAATATTCAGCGAGAAACAAAGCAATTGATTTGCCGACGACCTGATTGTAGTACTCATTTATATGCCAATGTCTCTTCAATATTTTCTTTATTAGTATTGTCATATCGTTGGAACTCATTATAAAATACCTTAATGGAGTTGTAAAAACATTTTTGTTGAAAAATCAAGATGTTTTTTTAATTCTAGAAGAGCATTTTCCTTTTGAAATAGTTGAAGAATTCTATGAAACTGTCATTGAAAATCAAATAAACTTGTCAGTTGTGGAATGAAATATTGGCTACTATGTATTCAAATATTTTTTTATCAATTACAAACTTATTTTTAATCACTCGTTTTACTTGCTTATCTTTCTAGTATGTTGCTGGATGAATCTCAAAATTTCATCGCAGGACATAATCCAACCAGAGATACCAGCCTGGCCTACTCGTCTGCCAGGCCAGGCTACAGGGTCAGGCTGATTTTTCGCATTTTAGCCTGACCTGCATCAGGCCACCAGGCCAGGCTAGGCTAACCTGTCTAGCCTGCTCAAAATTGACTGAGAATGATTTTATCTGCTGATATTTGTATTACCCATGTAGGTGATAATGTAAAACAATGGACATTATTTACCATTATTTTCATAAATAATGTGCATGATGTAATTATAATGCAACCTATTTCATGTATTATCTTCCAAATAATGGGGAATTTTTCCAATGATTCATTGTTTTTTAATGAATTATTTGAAATTTTACCATTATTTCCCTGAAATGTATTATAATGCATTAAAATTTAAAAATCTAATGGAATCTAATTAATTAAAAATTTTCACTCCCAATGCATTGGATTCCATTAGATTTTTAAATTTTAATGCATTATAATACATTTCAGGGAAATAATGGTAAAACATTCAAAAACAGTTTCCAGTTCGTCTTGAATATGCAATGAGAGTGAATAAGTCTCAATACCAAATCCTTGATAAATTTGACTTCTATTTACCAGAACCCTGCTTTTCTCTCGATCAGTTTTGCTACAGAATGTTCAAGAGCAACAAGATCTAATTGCTTAAAAGTTAAACTAAAGGATATCTCACTAGACACAGCAAAACGAATATTAAGGAAACAGTAACAGATAATGTTGCTATTGAGAAATTTTTTCGTGATTCCCATAGGATGCTAATCCAAAAACTTTATTAAATCAATTGTTGCTATAAGATTAAACTCTGACTTCTCACAGGGGCCTCTATGCTTTACTATATTGGTGCATTTCGATGATATCTCTCCTAGGTTAGTCTTTTTTTTCTCGAGCGTATTGAACGCTTTTTGAACGTTACTCGTGGCTCATCAGTTGGGAAGCACCTAACGCCACTCTAATCATTTAGTATAAAAAGAAATAGTACTTAAACGAAGATTACTTAGTAACACTTGTAAGTAGGTTTTGTATTTAAGCCTGATTATCACTCGTTTTTTTTCGTGCAAATCATTATGACGCTGTAAGTCCCTGAAGTCTCTCACCTAGACATTTTTTTGTTTTTGCTTTTTACATGGCAATGGCCTTTCAGTAGAGGGTTAGCAACGGTAAGGTCGCGTTACTTGCGGTAAAGGACTCCCCTCACTACCCGCCTAACTTAGTTTTCATGGGTTTCTACTGTATGGAATTCGAGTGATACGAGTCTTAGCGTACGTATACGAGCTTTACATTCACTATGGTATCGCCAGTATGATTTCTAGCTGTAGACATAAACGCATATATGATACTAATGAAGACATTTGTTGTTCAGTTCATTCCATTCAATGTAATTTATTCAAAAGAGAACCGATCACATAAAAGAATAAAAAAGAGTTCATTTAGGAGAAAATCGTTGAGCACGATGATTTCCCCAATCGACAACATAAAGATTGCCATGATGATCGAATGATAAACCTATAGGACAACTTAAGCGATTCCTCCCAATAATAACATCTCCCTGTGTGGCACCTTTCGGCCAACGCATGATTCGATCATTCCAAGAATCAGATACATAAACAGTGCCTAATTTATCAACAACGACTCCCTCAGGAGAAGACAAATGCTTAAGACTGTTCCCTTTTCCATGACCACCAGCTACGATAATTCCTTGTTTTTCACCGTCAGCCCATTTTATCACACGATGATTTCCCCAATCAGACACATAAACTGAATGATCTCGATCAAGAAATACGTACCACGGTTGACAAAGTTGATCGAGACGATTTCCTTGGCCATTACCACCTGCAACTAAGGTTCCTTCAGTGTCACCGATCCTATATCGCCTCACTTCATGTTTACCCTCGTCAACGACATAGAGAAATCCATGTTCGTCCATTGCTAAACCTGCGCAAGAAATATTCGAAATTAATGTTTCGCCATGCGTAGTACCATTGCGACGAGACCACCGGACAACTCTAAGATTTCCATTGTCAGAAATGATGAGGCTATTACTATTTTTTTCAACAACTACGTCGTAGGGACGATTCAATTGATGAGCTCCATTACCTTTGCCATTTCCACCGGCAACAACGGTGCCACGCTTTGCACCGCGTTTCCACTCCATAATGCGGTTATTGTTGAAGTCAGCAAGATAAATTGTTTCATTATCATCGACATATAAACCGGATGGACCACTGAGTTGATTGACTTTGTTGCCTTGTCGATTCCCTCCAGCAACAGTGATACGATTAAGATTCCATTTGACATTAGCAGGAATATTCATTCCACTTGCACCTACTGGTAACCCAATAATTGATACAAAAATAAAAGCAAAATTGGATTAAGTAAATACAATTAGAACTGAAAATATAGCTCTTATACTGTCTGTCGTTAATGGCAACAAAAAGAACCGAGTGAAAAATTAGTTTAGTAGGGGTAATGTTGTTTTTGTTTGTGCATTATGTTGAACTGAATTATATTTGTTATTATGAATATGACTAATGAGATAAACTAATTTACTTGTTCACTCTGTTTGGCAATGAATTAGAACTGTCAGTCTACATCGATCCGTATGTAAAATTATTGGTCTTAAAGGGATGAAATACTAACGGTTATGTAAGCCAAATTGAAAGATGAGGTGACGCTACAAGTTAACCTATTTGTGATACAGACTCACTCGATAAACTGATTCTATTCCAGCAGCTATTATAGAAAATGAACGTTATTTTGAATATAGTAAAACCTATTTAGATTTCAAATAATCGTATATATTATGCTTTACATTAATACTATTGTAACATTGAACAAGCAAATGCAAAGTTTGAATCTATGGAATAGGATGTCAGAAATTAAAAGAGGAAGAGGTAAACATGATGAATTTAAAAATTTCACGAAAATCAATCAACTGTTGTGGGGGGGGGGTGTATATGTGAGCCCATGCAACATAATTGCTTCTATTCGCCCACAGCCACAGTCACACCCTCAAGATGTTTTGGAATCGACTTCATTTCAGACCATGTATGTTTTTTTTAATTCTTTGGAGTTGATCTCAAACAAATCTCAACATGAAGCTTTAGGCCTCACGTAGAACAAATGTAAAAAAGATCATATGAAATTGATTTTTTGGGGAATAAATAATGGAACTACTTGGTCGAATGCATGAAAAACAGAATAAATAGTCAGTATTTCCAGTTTCTTTCTTTTCTCTTCACCAGCTTCTTAGATTGATAGAATTAATAACGAATATATTATCGGAGAATATAAACAACAGTACATAACATCATGGATAGTATCTCGATGATCAATACTATTCACTGATATTACTTTGTGTCACCTGAACTCTATGTCAAATATGAAGATTTGATTTCAACAAATTTTACTGTTTCAATGAATAGTATGTGAAATTTTATGTATACTTCATCTCTCTAGTAAAAACTTTGATCATAGTATGAAAATTCACTATGTATGATCTTGAATTAAACTTTTAAAAAAGACATATCAAGCTATGATTTTGAAACATCACAGAATCATGACAAAAAGTGAAAATAAGCGAAGCGCACTAAAACAAACAATGGCAATGCTAGTATTTTGATTGGAGATTTAAGATCTACTCCTTGATTCTCATTCTCACGTATTTTCATTGCTGCTGGATTCCTCATGCAAATCATATTACCCTCAAGATTTTCGAAGTGATTATCAATGATGATATTTACCTTCCATTGATAGAGCTTTAGTTTCGACGATGAGACCATCTAATACCGCATTTGTATCCTGTTATAAATGTAGGAGACTACATATATGTATAAAAACTAGTAATCATTAATAAATGTTTGATTTACATTAAATTCCCCAGAATGTATATTTTTATGCTCTTTGATTGGATTCGCGGAAGTCACTATTGAAGCATCTGAAAAATAACACAAAAATCTATTTGTAATATTTTATGTAAGTTTCGATCATTTTTTGTTGGTTTGAGATGTCTCTCAGAGTGAGAAATCCGATCTGAATGGAAATAACATAACATGTCACCTTCAATTACTTGACGATATAAATAAGGCATTCATTTATAGATGACAGATCTTATTGTTTACATTCATCATCACTGTTCTTTCCTACACAAAAGACGGTTTTAGGTTCTGTCTAAACAGATATATTCTGATCTGAGAAAAACTACACATTGAAGTGAAAAAGAATAGAATAAGGTAAAATTCGCGCTGGTTTTGATAGTAGGAATCAAAAATAAGTAGTTGACTCTATTCCTAAGTCGATTTACATTCATTTCATGATAAGAATTATCGTCCGCTTGAGTAAGATATTTATTCGCGCAATGTTTGATTTTGCGAAAAAATATAGTCGCTACTACTCTCTAAAAAAAAGGTTTCAGAGTGAAGCGTTATTCAGTTCTAAAAATTTTCGCTAGAACTAAAAAATTAAGTACCAGTGCACCGTATTGTTTTAAGAGGGTAGTGTAACGAAATATTTTATTTTTGTTGGATATATGAGATGTTGCTAAAGAGATTATTCTGTGCTGCTGCAGCGTTTATTTTATTTGTGATCACAAAAAGAAACTGGGAGAATAGCGTTACCGCTATTCTTAGTGTACATATGATGTTGGTTACACTACTCCATTCTCTAATTTTCCAGTTCTGATGTATAATACAATGTACTCACTATATATACGTGTACACAAGAGAGATAGAGACGAATAGAAAAAGATATAATAGGCATATGCGCATTACTTAGGTTTAGTGGCGGAACCAGGATTTCAGTCTAGAGGGAGCTCAGCTCCATCTTAATTATTCAAAGTCTACTTACGATAGTAAAATTGTTTTTTGAAAACTGTCATGTTTGAGTCAGTTTTCTGAGC